GCTGACAGCACTGTGCCCAGGCCTCCACTTTTTCTGTGACTAATTGCTTCGGGAAAGCCAATACTCCAGTGCAACTCTCATTCCAGTCTACATGGTAATTATATGCTAATGCCTTTTGAAATAAATTCGGGAACCTCCATGTCAGCATCAAAGTGAAAGGTACAGAAGCTGAGATCTAATCACATTGTCTTTGGGGGCTTAATGTAAAACTTCTTTTATACAGGAACCGGGCCAGCGATCGACTCGCTGACTGCTCTGCCATCGTAACAACACAATCGCATAGCAGCAAAACTGCTTGCGGAGGTTCTGTCAAAAACCAGTCCCAGACAGGGTTCTTGTAGAGAAGCAGTGTTTCTGACTTAAAAGAAGCCACGGCACATATCTGACCTCTCTCTTTTCTCTTTCTTGTATATTTTAAGGGTTTTAAATGAATAAGATCACCAAAAGCAAAAGGAGGCTGTGAGCAAAGTAACAGTGAAAAATAATCCTAGCAAATGGTGGCTTGTAAAAGTAATCAAGACATGGATAATTCTGCTTCAGTTGAGGATAGAGATCACTAATATAAACACATCTTGTGTATAAAGTAGATACAGATGATTTGCTGTCACCTAGAATTACAGTTAGTCCAAAAGCTCATTTGCAAATGTTTCCTGCATAATACAGGATTTCCAAAATTTACCTCTTCCACTATCCGAAGAACAGCTATTGCAAATACTGATTTTTAGCTTTCCTAGTACTCACTGTTAAATCCATTTCCTAATCTCAACTTAAAAGCACATTGCATTTGATATACTATATACAAATTCTTCACATATGATAGAGAAATTACTGAATTTTTTTGTGTGTGCTATAAAAAGAAGCCAGGGAAATGTTTCCCGCATGAATTTATTCTCTTGTCATTTCTGATCTAAGGCAAAAAAAAAAAAATCACAGGAGAAGATGGGTTGAAACTATTAAGAGTCTGAATGTGCTTCCTTCCAGCTCTTCAGGATGCCGCCTGGAGCTATTAAGGAATAAAGTGACTTCACTTTTCGGATATGCATTCAGAGTCAAAAGTGTATATGTAGTAACAAACCAAAAAGAGCTGCAATACAAAAAGCCACACAAAATACTATTTTATGAAACATATCAGCTGAAATGTATTCAGGTATTACTATGTGCTAGGTATTATGGCAAAACATGACATTTTTTCTTTCATTAATTTCCAAAACACTCTACCACGTTGATGCTGCACAACCACTATACTGTAAGCAAGTACTATGTATTTTGTTTAGAACAAGTACTATGTATTTTGTTAGCCAATGGGGAATCCACAACTTGTTCATACAGTTCTGCCATAGAACAGATGAACATTAATATATTTGCTGAATTAATTATTTCCACTTGAAAAGCACATAGCTGAGGCTTATGGAAGATAAATGACTAGCCAAGATAAAAGTGACAGCAGAATCTGTGTTTCAACATTTTATGTTGTCATTTTTTGAAAAAGATTTTTTATTTATTTGAAAGGTAGAGTTACAGAAAGAAGGAGAGACAGAGAGAACCAGCAACTGGTTCACTCCCCAAACAGCTGCAATGGCGAGGACTGGGCCAGGCCAAAGCTAGGAGCATGGAACTCCATGTGGGTCTCACACAGGGTGTGGCAGGGGCCCAAGTATTTGGGCCATTTTCTGCTGCTTTCCCAGGAGCATTAGCAAGAACCTGGATTGGAAGCAGAACAGCCAAGAATGAAATGAGTGCCCGATGGGATGCTGGTATTGCAGCCTGCAGCTTAATCCACAGAAGTCTGGAATTTTCAGCTCCATCTCCTGGAGACTGAGTTAGTAATCAGTCATACTTTTGTGTTTCAGGCCTCATAAAAATCTCTCTGAACTATGGTGTCTGTTCAGTTTCTGGACTGCTAAACACGTGGAGGTGCCTGGAAGGCAGCGTAAACAGAGATGGCATGGACACTCCATGTCTAGTTCTCACATCCTGCCCTGTATATCTTATCTATTAGGATATTCTTCTGCATCCTTTGTAATGTTCTAATAATAAGTAGGTACACAAAAGTAAAGTGTTTCTCTGAGTACTGTGAACTGCTCAGGCAAATCAACTGAATTAGAGCAGGGGTCATGGGAACCTGTAATTTATAGCCAGTCAGATCAGAAGTACAGATCATATCCTGGGACTTGTGATTGGCATCTGAAGTGGCAGGAAGGCAGTCTCATGGGACTGAACCCTTAACCTGTGGGATCTGACACTATCTCTAAGGAGATGGTCTCAGAATTGAAATGAATTTTAGGCTGGTGCCATGGCTCACTAGGCTAATCCTCCGCCTGTGGCACCGGCACACCAGGTTCTAGTCCCGGACGAGGTGCCGGATTCTGTCCCGGTTGCTCCTCTTCCAGGCCAGCTCTCTACTGTGGCCCGGGAAGACAGTGGAGGATGGCCAGGTCCTTGGGCCCTGCACCCGCATGGGAGACCAGGAGAAGCACCTGGCTCCTGGCTTCGGATCAGCGCGGTGTGCTGACCACAGCATGCTAGCCGCAGCGGCCACTGGGGGTTAAACCAATGGAAAAGGAAGACCTTTCTCTCTGTCTCTGTCTCTCACTGTCCACTCTGCCTGTCAAAAAAAAAAAAATGAATTTTAGGACATTCACTTGAGAATTTGCTTGCCTCGCACATCTTGTGTCAGTTGGTGTTGACCGTGTTAAGAGAGGAAAAATTATCTCTAATGCATGTACTATGCTAAGCCCCTTCTGACATGCAACTACTACCCAAAAGAACTGGGATAAGTTCAGGGAAGTTTTCCAGGTCCAGTGCTCATAGCCCCCTGCACAGTGTTAAGTTTTGTGTTTTGTCTGCAAAACACTCTCTTCAGACTCTGCAGCCACAGCTCATTTTTCACCAGTATCTCATAAAATGTCACACAGAGAAATGAAGTATCAGTGCTCCTGTTAGCCTAGACCCCATAGGACATTCCATATTGAGTCTTAATAAGGTAGAAAGGACAGAACTAGAATCTTCATGTTCCAAATTACAACTTTTCTAGCATTTCCATATATCACGCACAATAGGGATTCTGTGTTTAGGTATGTATAACTCAACAGAGTAACTTAATATCCACGATTCTCCAAAATCTAGACCATTCTCAATCAGGAATCTCATGGATCTAAACAAATGGGGCTTGTTAAAGAAGTGCATGAGGAACAGAGTACACGTCACCATGGGTCTGGCATCCTGGCAAGCCGGGGATCTTATCTACCCTTAGATATTGAGTTCTGTAATTTTAGGCATGTCACTTATCTCATTTTGTTTTCCATAGCTTGGAGATAATAACAGTATTTCCCATATGAGGCTCTAAAGAACATTGAATGCAAATGTGTACAGTACATAGGTACAGTGCTAGTAATAGCTCAGTAAATTGGCTCTTACAATCAACATTTTTATTACCTCTATCACTTTAGTCTTGTCTCCAAGGACGTCTGTAATTATCAGCCAAAGAAAATAAACTTGAAGCAATGAATTATATTGGTTAATACACACCATTATACCATATATTAGCTGTTACCATTATTATTACATATTTACTTTAGGTACTTGATGTATTCATTTCTTTTTGTGTGTGTCTCTTCCTAACAGATACACTAAAAAACTAAAACCAAAAACAGTTGATTCAGGGTGGGCCTTGTGACATAGTGGGTTAATCAGAATCTTGGGATGCCTGCATCTCATTCCAGAGTGCAGATTTGAGTTTCTAATAATGTACCTAGGATATAGCAGATGATGGCCTAAGTCCTTGGGTCTCTGCCACCCAAATGGGAGACCTACATTGAGTTCTGGGCTCCCAGTTTGGCCTGACGTGTTATGGAAATTTGGAGAGCAAATCAGTGTATGGAAGAGTGCTCACTTGCTCTCTTTCTTCCTTTCACAACAAATACATCTGAAAAAAGAGCTAAATGAATGAGTATATGAACAAACCTATAAATCTCACACTAAACTAAACCCAGAATAGAAGCCTTGACTTCAAGTTTAGAATGATCTTTTTTATTAATGAAATCTAAAGAGAAATTCTCAGAGGATCAGTCCTCCCTTTAGCTTCCATACTATTCCTAAAATAGGAACTTACGTGGCTTTAATCTGTATCACCAACTTGATAGACATTAACCATTCCTGACAACAAGTTCCCAGGCTTTCATTGGCTCCAAACTTGCCAAAAAACTAAACAGCAAAAACTATAGTAATAGTTATGCTCATTTAAAATGCAGAGAAAATTTTTATAAATAAGAATATTAGACTAATATTCAAATCATATCAGTCTTGAACCTTTTTGAATTGATAATAAAAATAAGCCCTATACTTTTAATGTGTTCCCATGAGATTTTCCATAAGGGCTCTCCAAACATTTTGGGAGATTGCTAAGTAGCCAACAGACAGCAGCACTTGAAAGGCCACCACAAAACACACCAAACACGGGAGTTAACGGAAAGGTTTGTTGTCAGGTGGCGGAAACCCGACAGGCTCGAGGGAAAGGGTGGAAGAGAGGGGTCAAGAGCAGGTAGGTGTGTGTGTGTGTGTGTGTATACGCACGTGCACACGTGGGAAACAGGTCCCGTTAGAGCCTTGTAGGGAGTAGGTAAGTGGGTGTTTGTGTGTGTGTGTGTGTGTGTGGAACTAATACTTGTGGTTGGGCCATTTGGTCACTTGACTCCTGGTAAGCCAGGCTCGGTCCTGGGGAGGCAGAACTTAGTGTACAGAGTGGAAGCTGGGCCAGAGCCTAAGTTCAGCTGGGCCAGAGCCTAGGATGGTGTTGGAAGCTTGAGATGGCGCTTTTAGATAAGATGGCACCATTTCCTAACAGCACTGATTTCTGTTCTTGCTATGGAAAAAGGGTTTAAACAGTTGAAGAAAATACCATTTGTGAATAGTTTTCCCTCTTTACTTCATCTTTTCATACATTGTGCCCTGCCCCCTTCTTTCTCTTTACTCAAAGAGAAATTAACCCATAGGCCTCTCACCTCTAACAGTTCATCTCCAATGCGCATCCGTCCATCAGTTGCAGCAGGTCCTTCTGGGTTAATTCCCACCACGAATATGCTCATGCGAGACCTGTCTTTATTACCAGCAAGGCTGAGTCCCAGTCCATTCTTATCCTTTTCAAGTTCAATAATATGCAGTTCTCCAGGCAGGTCTGCATATCTTTGCTTGATTTTTTCTATTTAAAAAGAAAGGTTAAAATAACTAAATGGAGCAATTCAATCTGTATTACAGAGATATCAGTATTTCCTGCTCCTTACTGTGATTTCTCTACAGTGATTCCACTAGAGAATGAAATAGGTCAGCATGGCCTTATGTATAGGTTATAGTTAAAACTTATTTTATTTCCACCAAGAAAGTGTAGCTCACCCAAAAATCCTGTCATTATTCTGAATCACACAGGCCCAGATTTTCTATGGAAGATTTTCTTACCTAAGAGAGTCAATACAATTTGGTGGAAACCACGGCCCCTACCCTCCCTACATCTCCCAAAACAAAGAATGTTTACAAGGCACCAGCTATGCATCAAGCAGGGTTTGGTCTTTGAGATAAAATGCTGAAAAAAAAAATCACAGTTTCTCTACTTATGGTTCAGTAGGAAAGAAAATCAACAGTCAATTCTGAATAATTGCGTTTCTTTAAACTATACAAAGGTGACAATATCCATCCCATGGATGTTGGGAAAATATAAAACATATGTTAAATATAAATATAAAATATATGTTAAATACTTGATAAATTTTTTAAAATTATTTTACCATTATGTTATGATCTAAATGACCTATTTTGGGATTGAGCCAGTTACATTTCTTTTAATTTTTAATTTGACAGGTAGAGATATACACAGTGAGAGAGAGAGAAAGAGAGAAAGGTTTTCCTTCTGTTGGTTCATCTCCCCAAAATGGCCACTACTGCTGGCACTGTGCCAATCTGAAGCCAGGAGCCAGGTGCTTCTCCTGGTCTCCCATGCGGGAACAGGAGCCCAAGCACTTAGGCCATCCTCCACTGCCCTCCCGGGCCACAGCAGAGAGTTGGACTGTAAGAGGAGTAACCGGGACTAGAACCCGGCGCATATATGGGATTCCAGTGCCGTAGGCAGAGGATTAACCAAGTGAGCCACGGCGCCGGCCCTAGTCAGTTATATTTCACTTACGTTGGTTCTGTGCAACAAAACCACACCAGCAGATGAATGAGAGGACTGCACTGTTTATGCAGGTCCTTTACCCACATGGTACCAGCTCAGGCCAGGTGTGCTGCTAGGGCCCAAAGGCTTGATGACTGTTTCTGTGGTGTGAAGCAACTATCTCATTAGCTAAACACATGCTAGTGGATCGTGACCTCCTTGGAACTCTCAATTATGTTCTCTGTACTCAGGGGGGAATCTTGCAAATGGAAAGCTTAACTTAAACAGTCTTAAGGTAGATGGGGAGGGCAGTGAAGCTGTCTCACCTGTTGTGTCACTTTTACAGATATAACAAATACCGTTTTATTAGTGAACAGGTAAATGAAAACTCATAAAAATAATTTTATGCATAAATGTATATGAAAATAATTAAAAATCAATGGTTGCTTATTTCAGAAAGATTAAATCTGTTTTCTTTACAAGGATTTTGAAGAGAATCTTAATGAACCTTCACTGATAGTTTGTCATTAATAATATAGAATAGATATAGCAAAATGCAGTAGAATGAAAGACTATAAAAGATTTCTTGGGAGAAGTGGAATTTGAAGGCAGTATTGAATATGGTGCAGAATTGAAGTGCAGAGGTATTGTGGTAAGAGAACAGCAAGAGGAAAATTACATGAACAGGTGGAGTGAGAAGGACATGGGAGAGCCTGCCAGCTGCAGATGAGAGATTTGGGCGGGGGGTGGGGGTGGGTAGTAAAAAAATAAGACTGAGGGCAGACATTGTGGTGCACCAAATTAACCACTGTTTGTGATACTGGCATGTGTACTAGAGCACCAGTTTCAGTTCCAACTATTCAGCTTCCAATCCAACCTCCTGCTAATGTGACTGGGAGGGCAGCACATGATGGCCTAAGTGCTTGGGCCCCTGCTACCCATGTAAGAGACCTGGATGGAGTTCTTGGCTCCTGGCTTGGCCTGATCCAGCCCTGGCTGTTGCAGGCATTTGGGGAGTTAACTACAAGATGGAAGAGCAATCTCTCTCTCTCTCTCTCTCTCTCTCTCTCTCTGTCATTCCCTTGCTCTCCCCCTCCTCCATTCTGCCATTCAGATAAATAAACATTACTTGCTGGAAAAAACATAAGACTGAAAGGCTAAAAGATGAGTTGCTTGGGTATGTACAGAAATAACATCCCATGTAGAGGTCCTGCATGGGTGCCTTGGAGCTCCCCAGCATGGGGCCTTGAGCTCAGTTGAAAACCTCTTCTCCCAAATCTAACCACAGCACTTACGCTTTTGTCTGCTTTGTTAACTGGACTTACAAGGTAAGTTAGTTAAGAAATGAGATCACATCTAAGAGAACAACAGGAAATAAAAATTTTAACACATCCCCTCAGGAAAAAACAAGGCAGAGAAAGGTTTTTCAAAACAGAAGACTTTAATAAGACAGTAAGCGCAAGGCAGTAGAGATATAAGAGAATTTTATAACTGAGACAGAAAATATATATTTTTGGGAAACCACACACAGAACAATTACAGAAACAGACTGTGTATTGGGCTATAAAACAAACTTCAATAACATTTAAAGAATCAATATCACATAAGCTATCTTCTTGGAGTGTAGTGTAATAAAACCAAAAAACTTTAACAATAAAAAGATAACTTAAAAAATCCATGTATCTAGAAATAAATCAGTATTAGTATAAAACCAAGATTTAAAAAGGAAATTAAGAAAAAAAGTATTTATAATTGAACAAAAATATGCAGCTAAAGCATAACTTGAAAGGCTATCTACAAGCTGAATAATTCATCAGAAAGCTAGAAACCTTTAAAATTAAACATCATACCTATGAAGTTAGAAAAAGGACTACACAGTAAATATAAAGAAACAAGAAGAGAGAAAATACCAAAGTGTATCTACTAATGAAGAGAGAACTCTCATCACCAAACCAAACTATACATAAAACAAAAACATAACATAAAGATTCTTGGGGGTTGTGGGTGTTTGGTGTGGCAGCTTAGTTCCCACTTGGGGCTCCTGCATCCCACATCAGAGTGCCTGTGTTCCAATCTTATATCCATTTGCTATTCCAGTTTCCTGCTATTCTCACCCTGGGAGGCAGCAGGTGATGTCTCAAGTACCTGGGTCCCTCCCTGCTACTCATGTGGGAGATATGGATGGAGTTCCTGGTTTCTGGTTTTGGTCCGATTTAGCCCTGGTTGTTGCAAGAACTGAGGGTTGGACTAGCAGAGGGAAAATAACTCTCTCTCAAGGCTTCAAGAGGACAATGGAGGATGTTTATTACAATGTCACCTGAGGTCTCAGAGGTGACTTCGAGGTGATCTTGCTGTCTGCCATCAGGAGACAGGGTGGATGAGATGTGGTGCATGGACCCCAGTAAGTAGAAGTAGCAGTATATAGAAAGATTTTTAAAACAGTACTGAATGAAAAGGGGGAGAAAGAGGATGGGATCTACACAAAAATGTAGCATCACTTAAAGAAGGTAAGTACTACACCAAAAGCCTTTCATACGTATTTTGGAAGCACATATTGCAAAGAGACAAATTAACATATCAAAACAGTTACTTACAGAGAGTGGAAAGAGCTGGAATAAAGAGGAACAAAGGAAACACAGAGACCCCAAGCAGATGAATGATGGTAGCATGCCAAGAAGTGAGGCTCATGTTTAATACAACCCTTGGCCCCTGAGGGCTGATAAAAGAATGATGTTCAGAAAGGCTTTGGTGTAGGATTAATATAAAAAGACTTCCAGGTTCAAAACTTGTCTGACCTATTCAACCTTAAGAGAAAAACAGCCTTCACGGCCATGAGCTGTAGATTCAGTTGCTTAGACACGTAGGTGATTAATGACAAGAGGGCTCTATTGTGGTCAAATATGCCTCTGTCACAACTGATGAACAACCACAGCAATTGTGCGATGAACAGAGAATCAGAATCAACACATAACTGAAGCAGAGTAGCAAGAGCAAGGACTAAAGGATCAGAATTAAGCTCAAACCCGAGCTGTGGCACTGAACACTTCTGATTCCTTGGACCAATTACTGAACCTCTATGAATTGCAGATTTCTTATTTGTAAAATGGGGTTGTTACTTTTAAATAAATAAATAAAATATCTTGTACCTAGGGGTCTAATTTGTCTTAAGGGAAAAAGAAAAACCATGATTTTGTTTCCCTGATTTAGTTACCATGAAGTTTTAACATTAGACTACTGACAAAACCACCATTTTCTTCTAAATTTTAACTACCTTGAGAAAATAAGGAGAATTGGTAAAAGAAGCAATTTCCTCCATGGTAGCATCAAAAAAGAAAAGGCCAAAATCTACACATTCCTCCAATGGGAGTCATTCTAGCATCATTCCCGCCCTGTAGGGTCCTCTTCTCTGAGATACTCAGATTGAGGAGTCCCGGACACATTTGCAGGTGCAAAGAATTCCCACCACTGGGTCAAGTGGTAGTCTCGTGATATACAGGCCAGCAAGGTAACCATACAATTGAATGCCAGTAAATTGTGGAATCAAAACCTTTTTCTGTAGTGTCAGTTTGAGCAGATAAAAGAATTCTGGAGATGAATGGTGGTGATAGTTGGCCAATTTAATGTATGCAATACTGAGTGACACACTTAAAAATGATGAACACAGGGGCTGGCGCTGTGGCCTAGTGGGTAGGGTCACTGCTGCAGCGCTGGCATCCCATATGGCTGCCGGTTCAAGTTCCGGCTGTTCTAATTGCCATCCAGCTCTCTGCTATGACCTGGAAAAGCAGTAGAGGATGGCCCACGTCCTTGGGCCTGTGCACCTGTGTGGGAGACTGGGAAGAGGCTCCTGACTCCTGGCTTTGGACCAGCACAGCTCTAGCTGTTGCAGCTATCTGGGGAGTGAACCAGTGGATGGAAGACCTCTCTGTCTCTCTGCCTCTGCCTCTCTGTAACTCTGCCTTTCAAATAAGTAAATAAATCTTTAAAAAAAAGAGATGAATACAGTAAATTTTGTTAAGTGTATTTTACATAAAGAAACAAACTCATTACCATTG